GCGCAACACTCAACTTTCACTTACCGCTCAACTTTGAATACAAATTATTTTCTGGCCATGTTGGGCAATAATAAAAATTTTTAACTGAGCTAAAGCTGAAATATTGCAGCTAAAAAATCATAAATACTATTAAAATAACAAAAATCCTATTTATTATATCACTGGTTAATTATGGATTGTACGAATTGTTGATTATGAATTATACGATCCGTTGATTATGAATTGTACTACTATTAGTTATTAAACTGTTATTTCAACGGAATTAAAAGATTTGCATTGTCTGTCATATACAGGTCAAAAGTTGTCACACTGTTTTTAAGTGGATTCTGTTGCAATATCGCAAAGGGGAAATTTATCAAACTAATCATTAATTTAATTTTCTAAAAGGTTACATAATGATTTTTCGGAATAAACGGATAATAGATACCTAATGATTTAAATATAATGTCAGATCTAGAATTATTAAACTACAGTAAATATATTTAAGGTTATAAAAGTATCCATGAAATATTTTTATATTTCACTTCTTCTTTCACACAAGAACAATCAAATAGTATCTTAAAGAGTGTCATTGCCTGGAATCCGTGGGTTTTAAATACTTTTTCAAACCTTAAAAATATTTTAAAAATTTACATTTAGTAAGAAAATTGTTTCCTTGAAAACATGTTATTATTTATGTTTTTTTCGCCACTCTTCGTTACCTTCTACAACTTTCTATATTAGATATTGTTTTTCCTAAAATTCTCCACTTACCAATGATATGTTATTTGTGTACCTTCTGACTGGTATTTCCGGCGATTCATTTTCGATCGGGATAAGTATGTTTGTTCTTTCCTCCTTTATTCAATCATCAAATTCTTTCAAAAGTTATATTTAACATTTTTGTAACTTTCAATAATGAGTGATAGTTAAGTATTTAAAATGAACCATATTAAAGGTACTTTAGAGGAAGACGCATATGAACATTGAACATTCAAACCCTGGAAAGTGACATCAACGGGGATAAGACCTAAATGATATTATATACCACTTAATTAATTATACACTGATACACCGAGTTTAATCAAAATCGTTAGAGCCGTTTTTGAGAAAATTGTAAAAAAATGTGTTTCAGCGTTGATATAAAGTGGCACTTCCGGTTTTCGAGCTATTGTTCACATAGACACAGACACACAGACCATTTTGCGGGACTTGGTAATTTGGACACAGGGGACCTCAAAACGTGTATTTCCGTTGAAAACTCAGATTCAAAAATTTCCTCAATCGCAATAGTTAATCTTACTATATACTATATATGTACGCAAGTGAAAGTAAAAATAAAAATACTTATCCACGTCGAAAATGAATCTCTGGAAATACTAGTCAGAAGATATAGGTATAATATATCGTTAGAGAGCAGAGAATTATAGAAAAAACATTATCTAATTAAGAAAAAAGTTGTAGAAGGTAGCGGAGAGTGGAGAAAAAGTTATATATAATAAGTTTTGAAAACTAATAATATTTAACGTAAATGACATTTCAAGGAAATTATATGAAAACTGCTAACTAAATGTAAACTTTTAAAATATTTTTAAGTATGAAAAAGTATTTAAAATGCACCTAATCAAGATAATGACATTGTTAAAAAAACTATTTCATTGTACTTGAGTGAAAGAAGAAGTGTAATATAAAATCATTTCGTGGATGTATAATGCATATGTTTATAACCTTAAATACATTTACTGTAGCTTAATGATTCTAGACCTGATATTATATTTAAATAATTACGTATCAACGTCCGTTTATTCCGAAATATTGTCATGTAACTGTTTAGAAAATTAAATTAGTAAATAATTTGATGAAATTTCCTTTTTTGATACAGTATCCACCTACAATTAGTGTGATAACATTTGACCTGTCTATGACAGACAATGCAAATCTCTTAATTCTGGTTTAGTAAACTTTGCAATGTAAAACAACAGTTTAATAACTAATAATCGTACAATCTATAATCAACGGATCGTACAATCCATAATCAACTGGTGATATGATAAATAGGACTTTTGTTATTTTTGTGATATTTATGATTTGTTAGCTGTAAGTTTTTAGCTTCAGCTCGGTAAAAAAGGCAATTAAAAAAAAAATTATAATAGCCCAACATTTCCAGAAAATAATGTCTATTCAAAGTTGAGCGGTAAGTGAAAGTTGTGTGTTGCGTGCACCAGATTTTTTTTATTGTGTTGATTATATTTTGCTTATGTGTGTTTGTTTTGCTAAATCTCAAAGGTCTACTTTAGGTTTAAGGTGGCGCTTTTTATGAAAATGCTGTTGGATTTGAGATAGTGCCCCGGCCTATTGACTTTTTGGAATTAATCGATTCAGGGTCGACCATTATCTTTTGGAGAACGATTAATTTAAGATTGTGCCCATCTCCCTCCCTGAGTTGACTTTCTGTAACTTTTTGGATTATATTCGAATTTGTAATTATATTCTACTATCTCAATTATTATTTTAAATTATTGTGGGAATTATATCCCCCTCCCCTAAAACCTAATAGTCGACCCTGATATCGATTAAATCCGAAAAGTTACAAAATGTATATACCTGAGGCACTGTCTCAAATCCGACACTGTATTTTCATAAAAAGCGCTCTCCAAACATGATTTTCTATCTGATATCGATTAATGGGAGGTAAGGGGTGGTCAGGTCTAATATGGACGCTATTATTGAAGAAATTAAAAGAAAGTTCTATACTATTCATAATAATGATGACTTGTTGAAAAATAAAAAGTACTCAGAGGAATTTGGCTGAGTACTTTCTGTAATTCGATATACCACCACGAGTACTTTCTGTACTTAACTAACGCTGTGTGCGTACTCTTCGTACTCGTCGTTTCAGTCCGAGTACGCTCAGTACTCGCCGTTGTCCGGCCGAGTACAGAAAGTACTCGATTCTTTTCCTAATAATAGTACTCTAATCATGAAAGTAATCGAGTACTGCCCATCTCTAGTCTATACCAACACAGGTTTTAAGGCCGCTTGAAGGAAAGGGCGGATATTAATGTCGAGGTAGGAGGTTCATCTTCGGTAACCTCTCACTTAAATTCTAAATTTGAAAAAAAATGGGTCCACTAATCTTGGAGAATACCGCAGACGGCGGACAAATTTGTTTTTATTCAATTATCGATTTCTTCGTATCCTGAAACGCAAAACCTCAAAATTTGAGGCTAGTTAAGTTTTTGAATGTTTTGGTTGATTACAATCGTTCATTTTTAAAATAATAAACCAAAATACAAAACCTACTATTAACATGCTTAATTTTAGCCCATTAATAAAACAACCGTACTAGAGAAATGTTGAATGAAATAAAATTCGAATATAATATAAAACAGTTTAAGAAATAAATTTATTTTTTAGATGGGCGGCAGATGTTGTCATTGCCCGGGGGCGCCGAATGTCTAAGGCAACTGTACCGGCCTTATTGTGCAGATTAGATTGTTGAGAAAACCAGTTGGTTGATCACGGTAATTTGGTGTGGACCAAATATCATCCATTGATCTGTAATTGAGTTTCATTGCGCTGGTGATTGTGAAAATTGGTGTGGACTGTATGAGGTTGGATCACTGAAATTCATACACCAGGCTGTTCTCTTGAAGTTTGACAACTCATTTTTTTCTTTTTTGTGATTTCTAAAGAGAATGCCTGACTGTGTGCACTCTTCACCAATGAATAGGATTAACTCTACGGGAATAGTTTGCAGCAAAATGGTGGTGAAGTTCTTAATTGTACAATTGTTTTAATTTATTTTATGTGTTTCAGTGGTTGATCTCTGAACACCTGTATATGCTTATATATACTCATTATGTAAAAAAAAAAATCGTTTAACCTGAAGTACTCTCATTTTTTTTAAACATTAAAACTTGCTCGTTTAAACCAATTAAACATCTACAAAGACGTTTTCTGTAATCTAAGTATTCTTTTATTGATAAGTCCTTTTTTTTCACATAATTTCGAATGTTACTCAGTTCATCAAATTCGCTTGCTCATATACTCATCATATTTATGAAATAGGCACGCATAGTTAAATAAAAGGCAGGCGAACCCTCGGGGCACAGCTAGATTTTTTTTCAGCAAATATCTGAAGGTAAAAATATCTATCGATAGTCATAGACCATCAGTCTGATAACGTGATTTCTAAAGAGAATGCCTGACTGTGTGCACTCTTCACCAATGAATAGGATTAACTCTACGGGAATAGTTTGCAGCAAAATGGTGGTGAAGTTCTTAATTGTACAATTGTTTTAATTTATTTTATGTGTTTCAGTGGTTGATCTCTGAACACCTGTATATGCTTATATATACTCATTATGTAAAAAAAAAAATCGTTTAACCTGAAGTACTCTCATTTTTTTTAAACATTAAAACTTGCTCGTTTAAACCAATTAAACATCTACAAAGACGTTTTCTGTAATCTAAGTATTCTTTTATTGATAAGTCCTTTTTTTTCACATAATTTCGAATGTTACTCAGTTCATCAAATTCGCTTGCTCATATACTCATCATATTTATGAAATAGGCACGCATAGTTAAATAAAAGGCAGGCGAACCCTCGGGGCACAGCTAGATTTTTTTTCAGCAAATATCTGAAGGTAAAAATATCTATCGATAGTCATAGACCATCAGTCTGATAACGTCGATGGTTTTAATAAAAACTTGAACACTGTATGCTTCATTTTTTTTTTTTTTTTTTGTAAATAACGATGATTTTGTGTTTATGAATAAAAATAGTGTTTGTTGTTTTTTAATATTTTCATTTGACTATGGATTCGTTTTTGTTTTTGTTTTTTCTATTTATTCTTTTTGAAAAGAACTCATCTCAGAAAAAAAATGATATATCGTGGTTCAGTTAATGACCATATTCAGTTCTTTTAGACAGACTTGTACCTTAATCAAAATGGTCTATTTAATTATATTCTCAGGGATGAGTCCTACTTTAAAAAATAATAATAATCAAGGAGGAGATGGTAAAGCTAAGAAACACAAACAAAGTTAATCATTAAAAAGGAAGGAGATGGTCCGGGGTGGCCGTCATAAATAGGCTATATAGTGGTAAAAACTATTTTATTAAAAGCCAACGTTCCGACTTTGCAGGTCTTCTTCAGGGCTAGAACGGACAAGATACAAAAAGATATAGAGAATTGTGGAATTTACATAATAGAAATAAATTTTAATAAAATAGTTTTTACCACTATTTAGCCTATTTATGACCGCCACCCTGGACCATCTCCTTCCTTTATAATGCAACGGTCAACTATTAAATATTCAAAATTAATCATTGAATGCTGAAGTTTCGATCAAACTGGCAGGCTCTCTTCAAGGCAAATTAATTCAGTATATATTATCTATAATTAATATATAATATAATGTATAATACATTATATATAATTAATATATAATATATCTTAAATATAATATAATGTATAATATTGTTGCAGTACGGCCTGTACTCTTCGCTAAGCGGCGGGCTGGCCTACGCAGTGCTGGGTACCGTGAGGCAGATCACTATAGGACCTTCGGCCATCCTGTCGTTGATGACCTTCTATTACGCTGCCGAAGACCCAGCAGCTGTGGCCATTCTCACCTTCTTCTCAGGCATAATCCAAACAGCATTTGGTGTGTTCAGACTCGGTAAGTTACAGAAAGAACATTTATAATTTCGTCACTGTTCACACAACCTTCACTTACCACCCTCTTTTTCATCTGTAATAAGTATTTTTAGGCAAGGGGAAGTGAAAGTGAAAAGTTACATACTGTACCAAATATTTAAAACAATTAATTACCATATGTATTTCACAACCTCTTATGTATTATATTTTTTTTTTGTCATTAACCATTTCTTTTTATGAGTGTATACTTTAATTATTTATTTGAATATAATAAATACTGAGGAGCCATGAAACATTTTTAGCCCGACAACAGTACCACTGATAAAGGAGGCCGCTATATTTATTCATATTTCATCGTAGATATTTTTCTTTACTTTTATAGGTATATATACACATTATAAAATTTATTTTGCTGTACATATTTATATGTTCACAAACACACACATACGCACACAAAACATACACACACTCACACAGACCCTTTGACTACGGCTGTGTGGTGTACGGAGGCTTCCCGATGGTACTCGAGGATAGATTGAAGTGACTCATGAATTCCTGCTTAAGATTTGTCTTCGGTACTTCGAGGCGGTCTCATGTGTCCCAACTTTACGACGAGTTAAAGTGGCTCTTCCCTTTTTTCCGCAGACATTTCCTTGGATCTTTCCTATCCGAAACGATCAACACCCGTAACCCTTCCTACATCTACAGTTTCCTACAGTTCAAACCCGTGGTCCACTCCCAGTAAACAAGATCCCGTGTTTCCGACCTTTATATCCCTTCTCATAGAACTAAGACATTTGAATATTCCTTTATAGCCCCATCCACTACCTTCTGGAATTCCAAGCTTATGATATCCGTCATCCCTCTTCCTTGTCCTCATTCAAATATCATCTCTACCAATTCCTTCTCACATTCCAAAATGACGTTGTGCAATCAAATAAATATTGTGAAACAGATTTTGACTGTGGTGAATGTTTGTTGAAATTGTTTGAGTTTTAATTTTAAAAACCAACTCATGCTTATATTATTTTTTTTTAGTTTTTATCTGATTTCTGTTTTTCATTTCATTTAAATGATGTTTTTTTTTTTCAAAATGGTGTTACTTTTTATTTTTTATTTTTATATAATTTCACTGAAGATACTGTATATATTCTTTAATGTTGATTAATGTCATTTTTTGAAAGATGTGGTTTTTAATTTTTTTGTTCATAATTGTTATTCATAAGGAAACTTGTCCCAAAATAGAATTTATTTTCTATCTATCTATCTATGATGATAAATTTTCTCTACATTTCTCTTTTCTTTAAATAGGTGTTTTTAGTCCCTTTTTCGGAATTTTTTTCCTCCATCCAGGGAGGATGCGCCCTCTGGCAAAATTCGCCAGTGCTGGACTCGATAATTATTTTTTTTATGTTAGATAATGAAATTCGTGAATGAGGATGAATTTTCTCTATACTTCTCTTTTTTGCTCTATACTTCTCTTTTCTTTTGTGCTGATAGAAAAAAAAATCCTTAAACACCAATCTATTCTCCGCCTCCTCCTATGCAATGATGGATTTGTTTGTTTGTTGAGGTTTCAAAGATGTAAAACATCTAGGTCATCAACGCCTGGAAATTAATCTTGTTTATCTTTAGATTAAATTTTTAACTCCATTACATTAAATAATTTTAAATTTTATTTAACAAATTGTTTGATTTTAAGAAATCTAACAATAACATAATAGTGTCTTCGTCATTACTTAAAATGTTAGATATTGAAGGAGTGACTCCTAGACTATTCAAATTTGATATGTAAAAAGAACATTCCTGCAACATGTGGCTGACCTTAAGTGTATCATTTTGACATTGTGGTGTGGCTACTTGCTTACGAGATATGAATGGGTAAGATTGGTGTGGCCTATTCTCAGTCTGGTTATGAAACCTTCTTCTCTGCGGTTAAGGCGATTCGATGTTGATCACGGCTTTACTGTTTTTTTAATATTTTTTAATTTGCTTAGCGGACTCTCATTCCACATAGATTGCCAGCTATGAATTATTTATTTTTTGAGGGAAAGACTTATATCTTGCGGTGTTAAAACGACAGCACCCCGGTCTGAAAAGGTAAGCGCTTGTTTCGCTGCTACATCCGCGAGCTCATTTCGAACGACTCCCACGTGGCTCGGCATCCAAATAAAGTATACCGATTTTCCTAGAGATTCTAGTACATTTAGATATTTATGAATTATTAAGATGGTTGGTTGTTTCGGGTATAAATTATTTATCCATTTTAGAGAACTTAGAGAGTCAGTTATTATTGTAATGTATTGGGAGGTTATTATAATAGAAAAGTGGAGGGCTGAGGCTATTGCTTGAAGTTCGGTTGTATATATATTGCATAGATTATGTAGTTTTATTTTTTGAATCGAATTATGGGTGACAAAAGAAGACGCTGTGGATTGATCCGATTTAGATCCATCAGTATAGATTAAACATGGTTCTGATATTTTTTGAAGGATGTGTGAGAATTTGGTTTTGTACTCAGTAGGTGAAGTTTTAGTTTTGTGTAACAGAGTTAGGTTTAGGAATATTTTAGGTGGTTTGTTAATCCAAGGAGGGTTGTGAATTTCATGCTTGATTATTTCTCTGAGGAATGTAGTAGCTGAACTTATCCTCTCTGATAAAGGAAGCGTTGATTTCGTTGCAATGATGGATCTTCAAATTCATCAGATCAGACTAGAGTAGAAGAATTTGCAAAACACGTATACATCACATTCACGAATTGAACGCAACTCATACATCTGTCAATGCTTCTGAGCTTTAGGAGCAAATATCCCGAAAAACTCCTGGTTACAATATCCATACTTTCCATATCCTTTGATACGGACTAAACAAAAAAAGCAACTATTTTCTTTAACCAATACCGATTTTACTTAACCAAACTTATACAATAGCATTTTTTGCACAATCCACTTTTATTTGATGTGGAAACACTTCATAATTATTCTCCTCCCTGAACCAGGTAAAAGTGTTAATAATTCCTCATATTATAGACCCTATAAGAGAGGGTAAAAGGAGTTTGCGGATGGGTTGTGGGAGTATGCGGCAGGAGCGATGAAATACCTTAAGCGTACCTATTGACTTTCGGGGGATGAGGGCGATATGGGGTTTCCAGGAGAGGTTTTCGTCAATGGTGATTCCTAGGTTTTTAACGGAGGAACTGAATGTGATGGGATGATCGTTGATGACTAAAGGACGAAGGAAGAAGATGGATTTTCGATTAATAGCTCAGAAGGGTGAAAGTATAAATAGATTTGGGGGTCATCAGCGTATAAATGGTGTGAACAGTGGTAGATGGATTTGGGAAATCATTTATATAGGAATTAAAAAGAAGAGGGGGAAATATTCTATATTTTATAGGAAAGACTGCAACCAAAGGATAAGCTGTTGGAAAAGGATAGATATTTTAATTTAGTGTATAGTATAGAGTGGTCTAAGAAGTCAAAAACTTTGGAAAATTCGAGAAGTATTAACACAGTTAACATTTTTTCGTCCATTGCAGTATAATACACGAATTTCTTAATGTAAGTGACCAGCACCAGCGAATTCTGCCAGGAGGCGCACTCTCCCTTGGATAGTGAAACAAAATACCTATTTAAAGAAAAGAGAAATGTAAGGAAAATTCATTTTCATGCACGAATTTCCTAATGTAATATTTAAAAAATATATTATCGTGACATGCACCATCGAATTCTGCCAGAGGGGGCGCGCACCCTTCGATGGTGGAAAAAGTGATAAAAACACCTATTTAAAGAAAAGAGGATGTAGTTTTTGGGATGCCGTGGGATGTGAAGGCTTGTGCTATTATTATGTACTAACTGAATTTTGCAGGTGAAATACATGATGGAGGAAAATTTATTAAAAAACAAAATGAACTTTATTTATTCTTTCGAACAACCTTTTATTTGAGCACATGAAAATACCGGTTTTCTACCGGACCCAATTTTTATTCAGTTCTAATAAATCTGGACGCATGCAACTTCCAACTTCTTTAATGAACTTTATTATGCAAAGTAATAAATCAAAAAAATGCCTTTCATTCATCTGTTCATAGTCATCTTGAAGAACTCATTCGATTCTTAAAACTGGTCTCGATAATAGTTTGTATATTTCTCATTAAAAAATCTTGTTTTTTTTATTTAAATAGCTGCTGTTGGGAACGTTTTCATGTAGGAAAGTAATAATTATTTGGTCTCCGATTAGATCGGAATCGGAAATTTACGTTCTTTAATTTCGTAAAGAATATGTTTTTCGCTTTGATGCACTCTTTAGTAGTAATAAATGAAAAAAAAAGATCAGATAAATCTGGTGTCTCTGGGAGGCAGTGATGTAGGAGCAGGACAACCCATATGATTAAATTTAACTTCATAAACAATCGATATCATGTACATTATATTACATATATATATATATATATATATATATATATATATATATATATATATATATATATATATATATATACATATATATATATATATATATATATATATATAAGTGGTTTCCAGAGATTTAATTATCTATATAAGGGGACCCACTTTAGACTCTAGCCAAAGACCTCAAACGGTCAGACGGGCACGGTGGTAAGTTAAAGTTGTGAGATGCGTGCACCACTCCGTATTTTTTTTATAAAAATTATATGGCTGTTCATGTATAATGTGAATCTTCTTGAAGTTGATGAATAACATACTTAATTACAAAAATTAATAGAGCGTCCTGAGAAATATTTCCGAGTTATATAGCATATTGCATCTCCAAAAAAACAAAATCGTCAATAATAAAAGAATGATCTTTCTTAACATTCCCAAAAATTTGTTCTGAAGAGCGCCTCATGTAAGTCGTTAAGGCCACTTAGGTTCTAGTTTATCGCCGGAATCATCTTAGCAATTAGGTGGGAACGTTCCTATTTCAATGGCAAACTGTTCTCTTAGTTAGTTCCTACTTTTGCGAAGAGCCCGATCTGAAAAAAAAAAACAAAAAAAATATTTTTTTAGGATTTGGGACAACGTACTCAAAGTGGCGCATACAGTTGAATTTTTCATCATGATTGAGATAATGTTTCACCAAAATTTATTGGTAAGGAGATCGTAAGAATGTTTGGAACGACGACCTCTAATTTATCCTTTTGTCACATTATCTTTGAAGATCAGGTTCTTTGGCAGTGATAATCTTTGTATAAATTATTTCATTTTACAGTTTAAAATATGAGAAGTTTTCGGACTACTTGCACCATATTCATCTCTTTCATCTTAACTTATTTTTTTATTTAAAAATTATAAGAGATAGGAACAGTGTTCGTGTTATACGTCTTATATTTGGTGTTCCCAAATCCTCTTACATCTCTTGCAGGTATTCCAAGCAAGACTGGTTATTTCCTAATAACTGAAGATAATACTTCCTTGCTGATTTATTTCAATCCTGATAGCAAATAAACCATCTGGTCATTTTCAGTCAGACTGTTTCCGAAAAGATATGGGAATTCGTACGGATCTCAGCGGCAAAGATGGTGTAGATAATTGGACCGCCGTCAACTAGAAAATAATTAGAGAACAGTACATCAGCAACCTCGGAAAGAATGATTCAAAATCGGGAAGATCTGAGAAGTAATTAGAAGAACTGGAGTAAATGGCTTTTGAACTTTAAAAGTAAGCTACCGTTGGAAAGATAACAATACGAAAACCTTGTTGTTCAGTCAAATATTTTGAGCGAAATCCGAACTTATAAAAAGAGATATTTTGTGATTCGACTATGGGTAGCATGTGTTTGAGACGGATTTTTT